GAACCTCCAATCAGCTGTCGTGACTTAAGAACAAAACTGAGGATAAAATAATTCTGCCTTAAGACTTCAGCAACAGCTCCTTCTTCAGAATTCCATCTTGGTGGTGTTCAGATTTCAGACTGCCAGGCTCCACGGTGGCCTAGGCCTGTTCCTTGTAATGGCAGTCTGTCTGTCTCTTTGCCCCACCTTCATTCCATCTCTTGCTCTCTTGCTCCCCCAACACATAACGAGTGAAAAGTGTGCATTGTTTGTATGCACGTTTCATTTCTACGGTGAACCGTGACTGGTGCAGTTTCGAATTGGGAAAAGTAGACATCCTCAAGAACAGACAGGTTATGTAAGCAGAAAGATGGCAATTCTAAAGAAAATCATAGAAAATTCTAGATATCAGCAATACTGTATTGTAGTTGTAACAGTCTTTTTCTCAGTGGACTTGACATGGCTGTGGAAAAATATTCAGGAAACGAAGTTAGGTTAATAAAAACTTCCCATGCTGAAATGTAAAAGGAAAGAATAGTACAGACATCCAAGAAGTATGGAAAAATATCAACAGTTTTAACACACATACACATATATATTCAGGATATCAGAAGTAGAAGAAGGAGAGAAAGGAGCAGAATACATATTTGAAGTAATGAAAGCTGAGAACTTTCTACACTGATGACAGACACCAAATCATACTGTTCATGTCTCAGAGAGCAAGCAGGACTAAAAACCAAAATCACAACTAAGCATTCAATGTGCAGATGTGAGAGAGAGAGAGAGAGAGAGAGAGAGAGAGAGAGAGAGAGAGAAGGGCTGAAAGGACCTGGAGTGAGGGTGGGAGGCCATGCAGTATTTACACGTTGAAGAAAAGGGTTAAGAAACAGAACTGGCTTCTCATCAAAACTCATTAAATCAGGAAAAATGTGACATTTAAAAGACAAAAGTAACCAACCTATAATTCTATATCTAGCAAAATTATCCTTCACAAGGAAAGAAAATAAGTACTTAACAGGAAAACGAAATCTGGAGCATTTCACTACGAGACATGCCCATCAAGAAATCTTAAAAGATTTTTTTTTCTTTCCAGACAGAAGAAAGATGATATACATCAGAATTTTGGATCTATATAAAGAAAGGAAATATTAGAGGAACAATAAATGTATGTAAATTAAAACTTATTTTATTATTAATTGATTTAAAATATAATTATTTAAAGCAATCATTGTACTAGGGAATTGGGTGATTATAGAATAAAGTAAATCAATGACAGAAACATTATAGGAATGTGAACAGGGGATTAAGAACACCTTTTAATGAGATACCTGTACTACACAGGAAGCTGAATAGTGTTATTTCAAAAGAGACAGAAATCAGTGACAAATCCATATCATCAACTCTGGAATGTACACTATAATATTCTTTAAAATTTAATTGATAGTTTAAGATTAATTGGAATAATACAAAACATTTAATTAAAATCAGTGAAAGTGAAAACAGCAAAAGAAGCCATTGACAATCACTAGATAGCAGTTTATCAATAATCACATTCAGTGCAAATGGTCTAAATACACCAAATGAAAGACAGAGATTTACAGAGTGGACAACAAGACAAGACACAACTACTTTTTGTCTATAAAAAGCCCAAGTTAACATAAAATATCTAATGAGTTAAAATTAAGGGACTGAGAAAGATATACCATGCAAACTCCATTCAAAAAATTTACAGCGACTAAATTTATTTCATACAAAACAAAATAGAACAAAGGAAAAAATAAGTGATAAAAGAGAGAAGTGATGTTTCATAATCATAAAGGGCCAATTCTGCAAGATAATAATCGTAAGTCTAGATGCACTTAACAACAGTGTCAAAATGCATAAAGCAAAATATGAAAAATCTGAATTATAAGCTAGAAAAAAAGAAATAGATCAATCCACTCTCATAGTTGTATACTTCAACATTCTTCTGTCTCTAATACATCAAGTAGGAAGAAAACAGGGGAGGATAGAGTTCTCCCAAATAACACTAACAATCAGCATTAATCTAATTTAGATTTCTAAATAGTTCTGCAAATGGCACAATACATATCCTTTCCAAGTTTTTATGGAACATTGACAAACACTGACCACATTCTGGGATATACCTTATCAAGCTAAAGAAAAATATAAATCATAACATCTGTTTTCAGGTTATAATGAAATTAACCTAGAAGTCAAGAACAGAAAGATAATTAGAAAGTCACAAATTATTGGAAATTAAGCAATGCACTTCGTACTGACAATAGAATAAAGAGAAATTCTCAAGAATAATTAAAATAGCTGGGGATTTATCTCAGCGTTTCGGTGGCCTGCCTTGCAAGTGCAAGGACCTGAGTTCAATCCCCGGTACCAAAAAAAAAAAAAAAAAGAATAATTAAAATATATTGAACCAAATGAAAATGCAACTTATCAAACTTTGTTGTATGTAACAAAAGCAGTGCTTGAAGGAAAATATATATTGGAAAAGAATAAAGGTGTAAAATAAAAAAATATAAATTTTCTCCTAGGCTATTAGAGAAACAAGAACAATTTAAGTCCAAAACAAGTGGAAAATAATAAAAATTACAGAATAAGTAAAATTGAAAATAGGAAAACAGTAGGAAAAATCCATGAAATAACTGGTTCTTTGAAAGATCATTTGAATTGAACAAAAAATATAAACTGGTTCTTTGAAAATATTATTTAAATTGCTAAGTATGCATCCAGCTAACATAAAAAGATGCTTGCCAATGTTAAAAATGAGAAAGGAGTCAACCACAGTTTTACAGACATTAAAAGAACAATTGGGGATTCCTTTGAACAACTCCAAACTCAGACATTTGAATATCCAGATGAAATCAACCAATTCCACGAGAGACACAGCTGCCAAAATATACACAAGGACAAACAGTAACCTATACTTCTACGCCCATAACAAAATCAAATTAATAATCAGTAATGTTCAAAACAATTATGAGAGTGAGGTTTCATGAATGAACTTTGTCACATATTCAAGGAAGAAATGATGTTAATTCTTTATAATTGCTACAGAAAAAGAAGTAGAGAGAGGCTCCTCACTTATTATATGATGCCAGCATTACCTGAATACTAAAACAAGATAAAGACATTACAAAAAGGAAAACTACATACCCATCATCTCTCATAAATATAGATGCAAAAATCCTAAAAAATTAGCATATCAAACACAACAGTATATAAGGACATTTATATATACAACAAAGTAGGGTTTATGTATACAAAGCTATTTAAAATTTTAAAGTTATTAATGCAATCCATTACATCAATAGACTAAAGACTTGGTATCACACTGTCATATCAGGGAGACACAGAAAAAAATTGACAAAATCTAATACCCATTCATGATAAAAACTAAACATGTCCTCTTTTACCAGTACTATTCCACATCATATCCGAAACTTTAGTTCAATAAGACACGAAAAAGAGATAAAATGAACACTGACTGTAAAAGGAGAAATCACATTGTCTCTGGTAGAGCATAGCAGTAGTACACATTTTGTGCATCCCAAAGACTCCAAAAAACTAGTTTTGGAAGTGGCAAGCAAGTCACAGACAGGGGGTTAGTACATAAAAGTCAACTGCTTTCCTACATTCCAGCAAGAAACAGTTAAAATTTGAAATTAAAAACTATCATGTATAAAACCAAGAAATAAACTACACATGAATACCATGAAATGTGTATAGGATGTATGTGTACAAAACCATAAAACATCACCAAAAAACTCACAGATTTATTTAAATGGAAATATATTTCATATTCACAAATCAGAAGCAATGTTGGTAAGATGTTAAATCTTCCAAGCTTGACGTACAGACTTAATGGAATCTGAATCAAAATCCCAGAAAGCTGTGCGGTAGCTATGTCTAAACTCGTGCTGAAGTTTATATGAAAAGACAGACCTAGGGTAGCCAACAGAATATTGAAGAACAGCTGGAGACCTGACACTAACCAACTTCACGACTTACTATAAATCGATAGTACTAGAGGTGGCACGGAATAGTAACGGGCATTGTGGTATAATGACCAAGGAATGCACACGTTCATCACTGAAACACACCAAAGGGCCCAGAAATAGACCACCCCAAAGAGTTGATCTTAGCCAATTCAGTGGAGAGAGAGTAGTGAGATTCCCCACCCCCACCCCCAGGCAAATATTCATGTAGAGGAAAAAAAAGAATAGAATTTAGACAGGGCTGGGGATTTAGTTCAATGGTTGTGCTGCCTGCCTTGCAAGTGCAAGGTCCTAAGTTTGATCCCTAGTACAAAACAAAAAAACAGACTTTCCTTGGAAGATGTCTAGAAGAAACATATATATAACTAAAATATATGTGGCCTTGGCTTTAGTGGTGTTTGGGGATACAAATACCAAAAATGTGATTCATGACAGAGAAAGGAAGGCCTGAGGTAGACTTTATTAAAGTTAAATACATCTGCTCTGCAAAAAATACTGCTAAGAAAATGAAAGGACAAACCTCACACTGGCAGAAAATACTTCAAAACATATATCAATACTTTCATTCAAAATCTGTAAAGCACTCTTAAAACTCAACAACGCAAATAACCTAATTAAAAATGTGTGAAAGGTATGAACTTTACCAAAAGAAGATACAAAGATATCAGATATAAGCCAGGTCTGATAGCCCAACGCTGTAATTGCAGCTCTCTGGGAGGCTGAGTCAGGAATATCTTAAATTTGAGCCTGTATTGAGCAACTTAGGGTTTCAGCAACTTGCGGTATCAAAACAAAAAGAAATAGAGTTGCGAATATAGCTCAGTAAACACGTGTGTGTGCGTGCGTGTGCGTGTATGTGTCCAACTAATTTAAAAACTCCAGTCCATGTAAACGCCACACTCTAGTGTCTGTAGAATGTCTACTGGGACTGACCAAACCATGAAAACCATCCAAACACCCTTCACTGGGGGACTAGATCGACAAAATCGGATACAAATCATCAGGTACCTGCTACTACACGGATGAGTATCGAAGCCGTAATAATGCATGTCCAAATCGGTTTCCTGTGTTACACGTCCCTAATTCGGTGCGTAATTCCGTGGATGCGACCTTCTCTCAAAGACACAATGTAACAACGGAGAACAGGTCGGTGACTGGCAAAAGTTAGCGCGAAGGAGGATGTGGCCAGAAAGGGACAGCGCCAAGGAGTTCCTCGGGGAGCGAAGTCTCCTGACTGTGCCGCTGGTGACATGAAGTCAAACGATCGCTTCGAATCACAGTTTTCATACGAAAAAGTCAATTCTGCTGACCATTAACGTTAAAAGGTCAAATTACTGCACGCTACTAGACTCGTGCGACTTTTAAAGCCAGAGGCGAAGCTGTAACTCAGGAGTAAAGCGTCACCGTCCGACATGCAGAGACAGGGTCTCCAGGGGGCCCGGGCCGAGCCTCGCGGTTCCCTGCGTGCCCGCAGCCCCCCGAGGTCGGCGGAG